GACGAGTCTCTGGGGACGAGTCTCTGGAGACGAGTCTCTGGAGACGGGTCTGTGGGGACGATTCTCTGTCATGTGTGAAAACAGCTTATGACTCTAAGATGCAGTTCCTCTGATGGCCACTAGATGATGGTCCCAGATAAACTCTTGTGGTTACAAACATCTCTCATGCTTTTATTTTGGTGAATGAAGTTATTTTATTTTGTCTCAGTTTTGAGGTTAAAGCTGCAGTTCTGCTTCTGTCCACAAGAGCAGCCTTTAGTTCATTAAACAATGAGTCAGTGCTGCTGTCGCCCCCTACAGGCTGACGAGTCTCAGGACGTCCTCCACCTGAACTACACCTCGTGGCCGGACCACGGCGTGCCCACGGTGAACGCCATCGAGAGCATCCTGCAGTTCGTCCACATCGTCCGTCAGCAGGCGAACCGGACCAAAGACCCCATCGTCGTCCACTGCAGGTCAGGGCGGAGCCACAGGGTTCCTCGTACACATACAGCAACACCTCTGGTCAATCTGTTGTGGGGGGGGGGGCAGTGGCCACGGGTCAGGACCGGGCTGCTGCTTAGTTGGGGGCGGGGCTACAGCTCCAGATTCTGGTCTGTGATGATAACGGAGGTTTCCTGTCTCGTCAGCGCCGGCGTCGGCAGAACCGGGACCTTCATGGCTCTGGATCGTCTCATGCAGCACATCAGAGAACACGAGTTCGTGGACGTCCTGGGGCTGGTGTCCGACATGAGGTCCCACCGACTGTCCATGGTTCAGACTGAGGTGAGACTGATTCAGGGTCAGAGGTCGACCATCAGTTGGATTTGACTCAACGTGTTGAATCTTTTTAAATCGTCAAGATTCAGAAAAACGTGTTTTTATTTCAACAACTAAAAACTAAAGTTCTAAAATTTGTTTCTTCACCTTTAAGAGAAACTGTGACGTCGTTACTTCTGTTCAGTTTGTTTTCTCTGATGATGACAACATCGGGTCAGCTGATCGATCACGTGATGAACTCAGTTGTTTCCTGTCGACAGGAACAGTACGTGTTCATCCATCAGTGCGTCCTGTTGATGTGGCAGAAGAAGAAGCAGCTGTCCATCACCTCCGACGTCATCTACGAGAACGCCAGCAAAACATAAAGACGCCGCTCCGCCACACGTGAGTTCAGACCACACCTCCGTGTTGGCGTCAGAACAACATTCACTCAGTTCCAGTGGTGGCGTGTGTGAGCTCTTACCTCCCTGCTCGTTGTCTTACAGGCTGTGGACCAGCTCCTGTCCGTCAGCTTCCATTCTCTGCAGAAGAAGAAGATCTGCTTCATCATCAGTATCAAGAAAAAAGCATCAACGTGAAAATAATAATCTGATTGTTGTTCGAATTGGTGTAAAAGCATGGGATGGAGTTTTGCCTTAAGGAGCCGTCACTGACTGAAAACACGTCCAACCACGTCCCTGTCCTCTGAACGGACTCATTCAGAGGCGTTAGCGAGCTCCGCCCACTGATTGGACGTCTGAACATGAAGCGACGAGTCGGTGGAACCGAGTCGCACCTTTTTCATTATATTTATGTTTTTAATCTCAGGAGTCGCTGAAAAACCAGCGAGCACATCGGCCTCGGCCTCCGCTCCCTAACTCGTGTTTCATTCTTCAGAATCCGCTCGTCTGCAGCTTCCTGTCCTGGACGAAGCGGACGAGTCGCAGGCGGCAGAAAACCACGTCACAAACAACAATTCAAAATAAAAGCCACTCTGCGAATGAACGGATCACAGAAAAGAAGAAGAACCCAGCAAACGTTCCACCGACGAAAAATCATCATCTCAGCTCGTTTTGATTCTTATTTCTCGTTTTGCTGAACTTTGGAAATTTAAATTGAAAATGTTCAGCTTCAGAAGGATTTTATCGTCTGTGATCAACAATCTGCAGAAATCATATCGACAGAAACGTATCCGACCACGTTTCAGCTGAAACTAAACAGGAAGTTTCTTCATGTTGCTGAAGTCGACAAAACATATCGACTCAGATCTGCAGAGTCGACACGAGCCGTCGATTTCTAAACATCAAAACATCAACATGTAAAAAAGTAACACAACAGAAATCATTTCAGACTTAATCCGTGAAGAAACATCGTAAATATGAATGACCCTAAAGCTTCTTTTTGTTTTGTCATATTTTGGTGAAACAAATTATTTTCTTAGTCCACAGAGCTTCCAAAATGTTTGATTCAATAAAATCTGATATTTATCCTGAAAGTTTTAAATCCCAAATATAATATTTATCTTGTTAAAAATGTAAAGTGTCCTGAGAATCATACAGAGTTTTAATTTTAATACATTTAAAATATTTATATTGCTCCAATTTCTTTACCGTCATAAAAATAAGGACCCAGAATTTAGTATTTCACAACTTTAAGTAAATACATTTTAAAATGGCCTCTGGTGATTCGACCTTACCTTTAGACTTGAGGTCATTCTCCCATATTTGATCTCAGAAATCCCACAGTTGTGTTTTGAATTTGTTATGAAGTTGATTTATGGGAATATTTTAAAATCAAAAACTTGCATGAATTTGAACAAAAGTGTGTGATTCACTGTTGAAAGCAGAAGTTTCTGTTTGAGCTGATCCTGATTGGTTCTTTAATTGTTTTGGCTCGTGTCGATTCTTCACATCTGCTTAATTCAGGAAACAGTTATGAGCATTTTCTGAAGCCTCGTGTTTGTTAAATCATTTCCAGATTATTTTTGGTTTTGTTATTTTCCATCTTTCTACTGAAGATTTGACTTGAAGAAAAATTTACGTTTCTCCGACGACTGTCGAGAATGTTTCTGAACAACCTCCGACTTCACTCTGCATTCAGGACGTACAGGGTGTCGTCAAAATAAAAGCACAGCTCGAGTTTAAAAGTTGAACGGACTAAATGTCTGATTAATCAAAGTTTTCTAATATTTCTATCATCAGAAGCGTTTTGTCAGCTGACTGAAACTAAACCTTTAAAATGTCAGGAACACACGTTTGAAACCTAAAGTTCCGTTCACTGCTCCGCACAATTATTTCACTAACGTGTTTCTCTGAAAACAGTTTCAATATTTCATCTCAACGAACCGACAAGGTCTTTATCAGAATAAGACTAAATGAAGATTCAATAGTTTATTTTCTGATGTTTGATATTTAATTTAATATTTCACACGAACCACAGATTCATCACAACTGTAATTACAACGTAATAATTCAAGTCATTTAACACGACACAGAAGTTAAATTTTAAAGAAACTGAAGTTTCAGCAGGAAGTTGTGTAATTCTTTTGTTTACATCAGACGTTTCATCAGGTTTAGAAAAATCTGAATAATTAGGAGCCGTAAACTCGATGTTGAGTTTCGTTCAGCTTCAGTGAAATATTTTGTTATTGTTGCTCAAAATGTTTAAAACCTTCAAATGTTTGAAACTTTCCCAGAATGAATCTGAAAAGCTGTTTCATTATTTTGACGACACCTTGTTGTTCACGTGCAGGAACTTTAAGAGATGGATGAATGTCTGATAAAATGGCCGCTCAGTGTTAAATGATTGTGGTTCAAACACCTGACGTCTGTACCTGTTCTCCGTCTGGGACCCCCAGTCGCCACCGCATCAGAAATAGGTTTCGTTTTGTTAGAAATCAAACGTACTGTAAATACTACTACTGCTACTACAAGTATTCTGTTGCTACTCGTCATGACAAAGTAATTCTTGTGAAAATGTTGCTTTAGAGGTTTGTTTTTTAAAACTTGTTCATGTGAATCATCTTTGAGACACAAGCTTCGTTCTCTCATCGCTACAATGGTTCCGTCTCTCGACGCTAACGGACGATTGGACGAGTTCACAAAGTCACGTGAACACGGAGAACTCGTCATGTGAGAACTCGTCATGTGAGAACTCGTCATGTGAACACGTGGAACTTGCACTTTGGTACAACTGTAAAAAGAAGATCACTGTAAACTCTTTCTCTTCGTGTCCAGTCTAACTTGTCGTTGGTGCCATTTCTTGTGTCACTTCAGATTCGAGGTTGATCTCGATCATTGTCACAGTTTTAATGTTTCTGTGTTGGAACAAAATAAATTGTTGCATTTACGTGAGTCGTCTTTCGGTTCAGATGTCCGAGTGTTTCAGAACAAAACGAGACATAGAGCACGTGTCACCATATTAAATAATATTAAATGTTTTACAGTGACAAAAAGGACAAAGACAAAGTTTGTCTCCAAACAACAGAAACAAACCACTGAAGTTTTATCAATTTATTCTTTAACAGGAACGAAACGAACAAATTCAACTACACGAGTGTCCAACTGTTTCTGTGGCAACTCAGCTCAGTGTCTTTGTCTCTCATGTCTCTCTCATGTGTCTCTTCATGTGTCTCTCTCATGTCTGTCTCTCATGTGTCT